CTGACCAGGTCCTATTGACTGAGGCTTATTCCCATATGGTTGATGAATAAACCAGCACCTGCTGTGTAATACCTTAAAATGTCACGAGGGAATTTTCAGATTAGTATTTACTTACAAAAAGAAATTGTATCTGTGCATATTTTTGCATATGTGTGAGTATGCACAAACATACTCTGTTTTGGCTGTATCTAAGCATTTCCTCCTACAAAAACTCAGTATATCAACCCCAGGCAGTATTTGCCTCTGACATCTAAAAATGGATACCTATTTGCTTTGGTTAAAATGGTTCATTGTGATTCCATTGATGAAACAATAATGAAAATTCAGAACATATTCTAGTTTAGTGGAAAACGTAGATGTTATTACTTAATACAATCGATATTCAACATACACTTTGGGGATTTCCTAGTTATGCCAGGGTGTTGAGAAGCCAGCTGGTACATGCCTTGTTCTTAGGAGTAACAACCGGGGAGTGGAGGTTTGGAAGATTCCATGCCAGTGCAAACCTCATATACTCTACAATCTTTATTGTCTGTTTTAGTGTGAGAAGAACTGAATCAAAAGGCAGTGATGTGAGCAAACCACAGCCCAGCAGGGACCTCCTGGGAAGATCTAGTGACTCAGTAATTACAGTGGTACCATGGAGGAGGGATGCCTCAGCCATTCTCCTGTCAGAATCTGTGGGTCAAGCACAAGATGACATAAGAGCAGCCAAGAGCCACCAGGAGCTTCCTGTTCAAAAGCTGGAAAATGTTTCTCAGACTCAGCCAGGAGACACTTGCAGCCAGCAGCAACTTCATCCTGGAGAGTGGTTAAAGACGGGGCTTCTAAGCAGGAGCCCTGCGTCTAACTATGAGTCAGCATCACCAGGTCCAAAGCAAAGTCCGAGAGCAGCCAAGACACAGCAGAAACGCAGGAATTGTTGCTCTGTGGAAGACTCTGACCACCACAGGAGAGTTTCTCTTGGAAATGAAGGATTAGTCCCAGAGGGCGAGGCGGCGGCGGAAAGGAGCACAGCTGTCAGGGTTTTGCCAGCCTTAGAGTTGTCAGATTCTGGGTTGCTTTTGAAACAAGATTTGGCAAAAGCCACAGCTAAAGAAGAGCTACATGCTTTGGAAAATCTCTCCTCCAGACATCTTATGACAAACAACCCAGGGCAGGCACAGCAAACCGGCTCAGCTGCAATTACTGAAAGATTAGCTACAGTTCAGGGTGACCCCAGCAAGAAAAGAAAGAAATTGCAAAGTTACAGCAGAGGATGTAGTGGCAAGAAAAACTGAGTATACAGTACCTGGGATTTGGGAGGAATTAGAGCAGTTACTTTAAATAAACAAATATTAGGAGCTGGAATTATGTCTTGCAGAGGACCCAGGTTAGGTTCCAAGCACCTACAAGGTGACTCACAACCATTGTGAATTCCAGATCTAGGAGACCCGACATCCTTTTTGACCTCCATGGACACCAGGCGTATACATGGTATGTATATATACCAGGCAAAATAAACACAGACAGACAGACAGACACACACACACACGCACACATGCACACACACGTAAATCTTTTGTAAAACTGTTTGTGTTGGAATTGGCCTTCACAGTTACCTCCTGGAGGCTGTTTTCCTAGCAGGCTTGTTACTTTCTCATCATATTTATAACTGTCTTCAGATAATATGGTATTGACAAAGAGCTTGACACTGATCAAGGAGTAAACTATGTATCTAGGAACCCAAGGGGAAATCAGTAACAGTGGCCTTCTCACCCCATCACTATGAAGACCTGCTGATGGGGGAGAGAGAGAGAGAGAGAGAGAGAGAGAGAGAGAGAGAGAGAGAGAGAGAGAGAGAGAGAGAGAGAGAGAGAGAGAGAG